TAATAAAAATAACTATTTAAGGAGAAATATAACAACTGTAAAGATCAGTACACTAAAAAGGTACAAAACATCGCTGAAATTAACTGAAGACCTAAATATATAGATTTTTGTTTCTACCACTTGTAGTAGTATCTTTTATGGCTTAGAAGACTTAATATGTTAAGATTCCAATTCTTTCCCAAATTATCAAAACATGCAGTGCAAACCCAATCAAAATCTGACAGAAAGCTTTAAGGAAAAATTGGCAACCTGATACTAAAATTCCCATGGAAATGCAATAGACTTAGAATAATTAAAACAACTCTGAAAAAGAAAAACAAAAGAAGGAGGACTAGTGCTACCTGATTTCAAGACTTAATATAAATCCACATTAATCAAGCCATTTGTACTGGATTAAAGACAGACAAATAGATCAGTGGAACAGAATATAGAATCCAGAAATAAATCCACACATATATGGACAAAGACACACAGCCAATTCAATGGAGAAAGTTTTGCTTTATCAACACATATTTCTGGATACATTTATTTCTGCATTATTTTAGTAAAGCTTTCATACAAAGCATCACAAACTGGTGGCTTAAACAATAGCAATTTATTTCTTTACGATTCTGGAGGGTAGAAGTTCAAGATCAAGTTGTCGGTAGGGTTGGTTTCTTCTGTGGGTCTCTCTCTTTTGGTTATAGATGACCATAGTTTACATTAGCGTTCACTCTTTGTTGTACATTCTATGGGTTTGGACAAATGTGTAATGACATGTATCCTTTATCACAGTACCTTACAGAGTAGTTCCATTTTCCTTAAATTCTTCTGTGCTTTGCCTAGTCATCCCTCTACCCCTCTAACCCCTGCTGAATGTATTTTTAAAAAGACATTTACTCACTTGAAATGTTCATAGGCACATATACTGATTATTTGCCTTTTTCAAGTAACATTTTAGAATTTCTAATTTGATTTCCATTGACATTCTATTAGACATCATTAAAATTTCAGTAAATTGCATGAAATTAATTTTTTAATTGACTAATTATGTACTTTGGGGTTAGGCCTCAAACCGATATAACTGTCTACTTAATTTTTTATATCAATGTAAAAATGTGATAATATAATGCCTGAGCAATAAACAGAATAAAATGACATTCACTGAATAATTGTTAAAATAATGCAACATGTTGCTGTTTTACTTTTTTCCTTCTACAATTAGTTCACTATGTCAAGGAAAATAAAAGAGAATCTGCTAACAGTGGTCTGTTTATGATGCTACTGACTTTAAGGTGGGCAGCAGGAATAGAATCAAGGTTTGAATCCTTGTCTCTACTATGCATTGACTGTGCTTAAGTTACTTTGTTCGTTTGTGGCTCAATTTTGGTGCCAGTAATTAAAGTCTAGTGATTCCTTTTATCATCAGGTTGTTATCAGAATTAAAGTAACACATTCATTAATTTTAAAATAATGATTGAATTGTGTTTAAGAGGAGGACCAAGATGGGAAAGCCTTGTTTTGAAATTCAGATTCAATAGGGAAGATAGAAAGACAGAAAAAATGGACCACAATTAAAAGTAGTTTACACTGACCCATTCTCTAAGGAAAAAGCGTGCTGTGTCAGAGACTGGTCGCAAAGACTCACTTGGAAATGTAAAACAGTGCACAGTATAGGCGACTGTAGTAAAATAATAATATTAAAAAACTGAGTAAAATAAGACTATGCTATATTGCTCCTTAAAATACCTAAGCAATTTGCTTATACATTTATTTCACACTTTTAACATTCTTTAATTGTGTCTTTTCTTATTTCTGTCTTTTCTAGCATCCTTTGCACCTCTGGAGTTTTGGGTATATTTATACGTGCTATCCGTAAGGTGTTCAGGAACTGCCTTTTTGAAGAAATGAATGAAAGACAAATTGAAAGATTATTTACCTGTACCTCCAAATTTGTTGTAGATGTTTGGAGAAGCTAGGATCAGTGATGGATAGAGGCTCTAAGAGAATATATATAGTTATGAGGAGACTTTTGCTTGTGTACCACAGGGAGAAATTTAACAGGATATTAGGTTTAGCAAGTGCAAATGACTGCAACAGCGTTGAGGGCTAAATGCATGCATATTTGTTCATGCTTGTTAACTAAATAGATTTATCAAGAAGATGTAGCCTAAAGTACTAGGAGTTTCTATCTATTTTTCTTCCTCCCTCCCTCCCACCCACCCATTCATCCACCATCCTTCCTTCTTAACTTTTCTATATTTTTGAATCTGTAGTTTAATTTGCCAAAAATGACACATCTCTTTGTCTTTCTTGAGTGAAATGTAAATTATTTACAGTAAAACAGCACATTTTGTTACAGGTCAGAAAAGCAAAGGATATTGGATCTCTTCTCAAGCAGAAATTTATTTCTTTATTCAACATTTAAAGCATTCTTTTTAGTATATTCCATGGAGACATTTGAGTTCCTTCCATTACTGGTATATTTAAAATGAACAGGGTTTGATATTTATGCATTTGCTCATTTGTTTTTATTTTTAGATGACTAGGAACTGAATTTCACGTGTCAGGACTTTGTGCAAGACATTGGGAAAACAATTGTGAATTCAAGCTTGTTCATATTCTTGAGAAGCTTGATGGATTAATAGGTGGAGCAGATACTTAGCGACCAGTCATAAAGATTTGGAGTAGTTGTTACTGGAACCCAGAAGAAGTAGCTACCATCACTTTGCAATAGGGATTAGGAGAGTTGGTGTTTCTTGGAAAGGTGTGAGAAGAAAGTGGTTCAACTAAGTTCTGAAAATAAAGAGATATTTTACAGGATGAATAAGGGCAATCAGGAGAAAAGAAAACATTACAAAGGACAAGGAATAATAAATAAGGAGAAGTGTTGGGGTTAGTTAGGGACTTAATAAGAAGAGAGTGTGGAGTATTAGATGGAACAGTGGTGCTTGATGAAGTTCCCAAAGCAGGCAGAGAATAGGTTAGCAATGGCCTTGAATGCCATGTTAAAGGATTTTGTAATTTATCTTGCATGCATTGGAGACCCACTGGAGAGTTTACTAAGGAAACAAATGTGGGTTTCAGAATGTACCCTGCATGGCATGTGAAGATAAATTAAGAGCACATCCAGCCGGGCTCGGTGACTCAGCCTGTAATCCCGCGCCTTTGGGAGGCTGAGGTGAGTGGATTGCCTGAGCCCGTGGGTTCGAGACCCGCCTGGGCAGCGAAACCTCATCTCTACAATAAATCAAAAAATCAACCAGGCGTGTGGTAGTGCATGCCTGTAATTCTGGCTACTCAGAAGGCTGAGGCGGAAGGATCGCTGGAGCCCAGTAGGTCGAGGCTGCGGTGGCTGGGAGTGGCCACTGCACTCCAGTCTGGGCGACAGAGTAAGACTCCAACTGAAGAAAGGAAGGAAGGAAGGAAGGAAGGAAGGAAGGAAGGAAGGAAGGAAGGAAGGAAGGAAGGAAGGAAGGAAGGAAGGAAGGAAGAACACATCCAGAACAAAAACAGGAAACATATACAATGACTGTTTTATTACTCCAGGAAAAAATTACAGTGACCTGGTATAAGACAGTAGCAGTGGGAATGGAGAGGAAGTGCTGGATTTGAGATATATTAAGAATACAGAGTCATTAGGTTGGATTTGTTGTACAGAGGAGGAGGACTGAAGAATATAAGCGAGTCAAGGATTACTTATAGAATCCTAATGTATGAAAAATAAATATGACTGTAATATATAAAGTAAAAACATTTACTTAGTTTGTATTATTTTATAGAAGAATCCTTGCTTTTTAAAGCCCACTTTTTGTATTACACACATCTATTACATTATTTGAAAATCTAAAGCAAGAGAAATATACAAAATATTCACAATAAAGTTGCAAGAAAAATTGATCAGTGGAGCTACAATATCTTACTATGTTAATTACCATATTTTAGGATTGAATCATTCTTTACCTAAACTCTGAAATACTAGTTATGTTTTCTGACTTACATTATATATACTATTACTATGCATATTCAAAATCATAACTTTGGGTGTATAAAATACACTAGAATATAAATTACATGAGTTTCAGGACTGTTTACCTCTGTATTCACAGCATTAAGCACAGGGCTTCACACATAGTAAACACTCAATCTTGTTAAAGGAATGAATTAAGAAATGAATGAATGAAAGCATTGTTCTGAAATGCCAATCAGCTGCTTAATTTATCCACAATTATTTAATAGCTTAATTTCTTTATGATAATATAATGATGGTAGAAATATTTCAATTTGATTTGGTTGGCCATCATATTTGAGTTTCCAGTACCAATATCTCACTCTCTGAAATGCAATATAAATCATATCTGTAGCCTAGTATTCTTTATCCATGAAATATAAATAGCGTTTTTGAAATTGTTTGGAAATGACCTTGTGGTTACACATTCAGAATTACTTTAGATGGGACTCATGACATATTAAATGTACATAACACATACATGTCCTCTTTTATTTTGTCCTGTCACCCCATGGGTTGTTGCCTGGCTGGTTCCCAAAGCAATTTCAAATTCCAGCATGCAGAATTTCATGCAAAACTTACCTAGGACAAAGGCTGCTTGTATTTTTTCAATGATCACTTTCTTTCATGACCTGGCACATAAAAGATGTAGACTTTCTCCTCTATTCCTGAATAATGGATTTTAAAACCATATTAGACATCTCCAACATAATATAAACCTAGGGAGTATGTGGTGGAATATCTTAGGAATGTCCTGCCAATAAACACAAAGAATTAATCAGCCCACACTTTTTTTTTTTTTATGGGCTTAACTCACTCCCGTGAGATATAGCAGTAGTAAAATTAATTCATCCAGCATTCTTTCATACTTGCCAGATAAGAAGGGCTACTTGCCCCCACTTCAATGACAGGTTGATAGTAGTATTTTGGAAATGGTTGTTCAAATCCAAGAGCTCAGGCTCAGTACAATTTATTTACTTAGGAGACTTGGCAGAAAGTGCTATACTCTTACCTGGCAGGAGTAGTGAGGGTGGGGGATATTTCCTTCATTTTCAGTTGTGTTTAATTCAGTCTGATGGAACATAACTACAAAGCACAAGTAAGCAGGAATACATACAGAATTATAAGGAAGATAAATGAACCTAGGGTTAAAATTAACTTCCCCTCAACAACTAAATTATCCTGTGTACCTCAAGAACATATTCCTCTAACCTCTCAGCCACTTCCTGGGAATTCTCCACTTACACGTTAACTTTCTTCTTTTTTGTAGCCCCAGATATAGGATTATACCTCCTGGTTTGGTTGCTTCTCTTATGCTGTGAACCCTACATTCATATTTCAAGCCAATAGATCTCCAGACATACAATTCTGTAATACAGCAGAGGTGTTCCCTAGGTTTGGTGGCAGAAGACTTAGTCACTTCTCCTGCACTGGAGAATATCTCTGTCTCTTAGAATAGCCCTCAATAGATCTATTTAGGGATGTTTCCATAATATTGCACATTTCTAACAAAAGCAGCCACAGATGTTTTCTTTTGTCCTTTCTTTGCATTGTCTAGCTCAACTACAGTCATACCTTATTTCACCATATCATTCTACCACTATGGTCAAATGAGCACTTAGTTGACTGACACCATCCACAGATTGACCTGTATATGCCACAAACTGGTGCAAGAGGCCAACTTAATCACCTGCATTTGAAAGCTAGATCTACAGAAAAATCTAGACACTTGAGGTCAAGATGTTCACATAGGTCATACTTGGAAACTTCTCTGATTCTTCCTCAAGTACTCACAGAATACATAGAAGCTACATTTAAAAGACCTAGTTATTAGCAACAAAGATTTAAATAGCTCTGAACACCAATAAAAATAGATTAAAACTAAAAAGATAAGGCCATAGTGACAAAAAGACAAAATAATTTTGGAAATCAGAAATAGTAGAGAAAGAGGTTTGGGAAAGGTCTGAATCTGTGGGTGGTCTAGGATCTGGATGGTGAGTGGGCAGAACCAGCTAAATAATATTATATTTTTTGGTATGCCATCCTTCATGTTGGTTTCAAATTCAGGCTGGTAACAGGATGGCTGCAGTGGTTCCTGGCATCACATCTCATATTCATATAAGGCCATATTTAGAGAATGAAGAGAGTAATTTCTTTCCTTCGTCTCTTTCTTAGGAAAAAAAATATATTTCTCTAATGCCTCTAAGTAAACTTCCCATATATCCTATTGACTATAATTGTGCAGCATTTTCATCCCTTACTTGATCATTGTCAGGGAAGACGGAATTACACAGCTGGACTAGAACAAGCATCTGGTGTAATATGGCTGTTTGGGAGAACCCACCAAAAATATTCACCACAATTCATCCTTTCTCATATATTATGTTAAAATGCTGGTATCAAAAGGAAACTCAGCCCTTCTTAAATAGAAACAACTTAAGGCTTGATTCATGTTCAAATTCAGTCTTTTGGAGGATGTATTATCCAGATAAGATTTCTGCTTAGTTTTTCATGTTCTATGTCAGAGGTCAGCAAAATATGGTCCTATAGCCAAATCTGGCCTGCTGCCTATTTTTGCATAGCTCACAAACTGATTGTATATTTTACAGTTTTAAATATTTACTACTAAAACAAGAATACATATCATTCTAAAATCTTTACTACATGGTCCACTGCAGAAAATGTTTGCTAACCTCTGTTCCATATGACATTGGATGAAAAGGCAAGTGGATAACCAATATAAACAATATATAATAATAAAAAATCATTTCTAAAATGTGTCTCTAAAGAGGGGATTGTTTTGGTAAGAATATTACATGAATTTTGCTTCCATACAGGTCTTTGTGAGGGTGCTGACCTGTGCTCCTTGGAATGTTCTACCTACTGTTGTTTTTTTCTCTGTGACTTTATGAGAAGTCCACATAAACTTGAGGTCACCAGAGCATAAAATCTGAAAAAACCTGACATGGCTTCCAAGAACTGATCTTATTCATTTCTGTAGAACAAATCTTGCTGTTCTGATGGCCTCTCTACTTCTCCTTCTGCCTATGAGCAAAACGAGGAGAAAGAAAATGTGGTTGGTCAGATGCAGTGTCTCACACCTGTAATCTCAGCTACCCAGAAGGTGAGGCAGGAGGGTCACTTGGGGCCAGGAGTTCAAGACCAGTGTGGGCAATGTAATCAGACTCTGTTTTTAAAATAAATAAATAAAGATTTTTGTTTTTAAAGATGTCATTATTTTTCAGGGATCAACACTTCATTCCTGACAAAATGTCAAGATTGCAGGCATGCTTTATAAGAGAAGTTAATGAGTTAATGCCTGCATTTTTTTTTACTTACAGCTAAACCTCATTTCCTGATTTGAAAAATAGGAATTACAGTATTTACTTCTCATGTTCATGCATTTTTTTTCTTATCATAAATATAGGAGCAACATACCTGTTTTTTCCTTTAATTATCCCCCATGGGAAGCTTGGTATATACCTACATCATCCAATGATTTATAGTAATATAGTCTGATTCTAACAATGCATAATTTCGAGAGGAAAACTTCTCACCCCTTCTCATTTCTCTATGTCCTTATTTGGTAAGTAAGTTAGTAGAAAATCCATTATTTTAAAGTAAGAGCATTTTTTCACTAGGTTGCCTTATTCTCAATTACTTCTGCAGCAGATTTTATTTGTGTGACTAGAGATGTCATTTTTTTGTTGTTGTCGCTTATAAATGCCTAAGGAAATATGAATAGTTAGATCACTAATACTTTTTAGTCATACCATTTTAGAATATTTTAAAAGGACAGATATATAACAGGGGGGACCCAAAATATCCGGAATTATCCTTGGGAGGATGGGCTTGTAGTATAGGCTTCCCCGTTAGGTAAGTGTTCTCAGAACTCTTCAGCCTCAGTGTACCAGCTAGCGTTGTTATGAAAGGTTGTGTTCAGCTTCAGTGAGTTTGTTTTGGAGATTCTTTCACTATTTTTTGTGATGGGTGAATTACGAGTGCCCTTGTCCACACCGCACTGAGCGTTCAACAGTTTTTGACCTAAAACAGCATGATCCCTTTGCCCCGGCGTCCCTATTCTCCTGACCTCACCCTGATTAACTTTTTGTTTCTCTGGATTTAAAAAAGTCCTCAAAAGGAAACGCTTTGTCTATGTGGAAGAGGTGAAACAAAAAAACAGCAGAAGTACTCAAAGGCATCAATACTGATGAGTTCAAAAACTGCTTTAAACAGTGAAAAAAGTGTCTTGATAGGTACAGTGCATCAAATGGAGAATATTTTGAAGATGACTGAAATGTAAACATGTAAGAATAAATACTGATTTTTTTTGTAACTAAATTTCATTTGGGGTCCTCCCTCACACTGTGGTAAGGAGCTTTTAGAAAACGCTTCAAAACATATATTGCAATGAAAATGTTCCAGTTTGTTAACGCAAAACGCCTTGCTCTGTGCCTGCGAGCAAAACCAAAAGCTTGTGCTATTGTTACAAGAAGTACAAAACTTACACCACGAAATGCCCCTTCCCCACAAAGCCAATGTAAAACTTATATAAGCTGAGACTCGACTGCGATCGGGGTCCAGCCTTTGCGACTGGAGTCCGCTGGGCCAAACGCCGGCGTTCCAGGAATAAGTGCAGCTTTCTGTTTATCAAGCTCGGTGTCACAGTCTCTCTGATTTGTTTTCCCGCAACAATACAGATCATTTTCAGAGATGTTCAAGTCTTGAAAAAGCTTTTATTAATATCTGTGGTATGAGTTAAGCCTTCTGTATGAATAACTAGACATCGGTTTTAAAGAAGCTAGTTTTTTTATAATCAGAAACAAACAAAAAACCAAACTTGCTGCAAATATAAGAATTCTAACAATGAGAGAAATTATATTTTTTAAAGGCTTGCTTTGATAAATCCAGGAAATACAAACTTCAAACGTCACAAATTTATTTTGAAATATATCATGGAGAGCTTGCCATTTACTGCTTTTCTAATATTTCAACCAATTTATTTTCTATTTTATACGATTATAATGATCTCGTTTTTAGTCTGGTGATACTGATCTTCATTTATGTATTGTATTTGATTTTGATGAATTCTACATGAAAAGAAATAATCATGGAATTATACAACAGGGGTGCGTTGCTAATTCTAATACAGAAAGTAACCCCTTGTATACAATAAATTGCATACAAGTGATTACTTCTCATCAAGCATGAGACTAACACTCATTTTTATAAGTTCAGAGAGTCCTACCCTTCTTATTTTCTATCCACGAATCATGATTACTTTTACCTTTGAAAAAAATAATATTAATTATATTTAGTAAAACTATTAAAGAACAACTTTTGCTTTCCTGAAATTACTGCCATGTGATCTTTTTAATTGTATTGTTAGGTATGTAGTTGATAATCTATGTTTTCACACCGATATCTATATGTGAAATTAATTTTCTTTCTTTTGAAGAGCTATTACATTAATAGAGTATACTGGGATTCCCAGAAACCAACAAGGAGATGTAGATTTACATGCAAGGGTACCTGGAAGTATCAAGTACCGAGAGGAAGAAGTTGAACAAAGGTAAGCCTTTTTTTGTTTTCCCCATCAAATTCCCATCCTCCATCCCATCCCAATGGGAGCTTTGCAGAGCATTTCCCTTCTCAGGACAAGGGAGCCTGCTTCTTTTCCAGGGCCAGTCAGCTATTGGCTATGGGGTTGCCTGGAGGAACTGAGTGAAGGTAAACTTCCAAATACTTCTGGCCCTGAAAGATTCACTAACTCAGGAGAAATAATCTGAAGCATGCCGTAGAAGCCAGCTGTTACAGGCAAACTACACAGAGGCTGTAAATGTATCTCAGGGGATCTGAGTGGAATACCAACAGTGTTCAACGCAGAGATAAATCCCCAAAGAGAATCTTATGTGTATTTTCAGATTGGCCAGTTTGAAACATGCATTTTAAACGACAAGAATTAAATCTGGCCCAAAGCAAGTACATTTGATTACTAAGAATCTTGAGACTACTTTCTGAAGTTAGTCACTAAGATTTTGTGAATTCTCTCTGCATTTAACCAAATTGAATTTTCCCCACCCCTAGATTGTATAATTGTTCCAGGAACTCCAGAGCATGAATGAGATGCCAAAATTATGGGAATATATAAAGTTGTAGGTTTCACATAAGACAATGAGATTTTGAGAAATATTTAATATTATTTATTTCTGTTTGTAGATTATAAAATAGAAACCATGTTTATTTATTACTATTGCTATTTGATCACCCTTCCTTAGTATTTTTAAAAATTTCTTCCTCTTACTAATTTTAGAGAACTTAAAACGTCTATGCTTAAATATAGTTCCTTTATAAGGCATCACAGAAATTCGATGCTGCATCAACAGTAAGGTATTTGAGCTAATGTTGAACAAACTAAAAAAGACTCTATTGTGTTCAGAGGTTTGGAGTTAACCATACAATTTTCTTTAAAGACGCTGCCAAACAAGAAGTATAAAAAGTGGTCAATATTTAATGTGTATTTAATTTTGGATTGTCTTATTAGATACACCATTGTAAGTAAAACACTTGGTGGAGTTTAATCTCATTTTATACGATTGTCTTCTTTTTGTCTTCCTACTTTGATTATATTAGCATTATTAATACCTACTCTGTTAAGAGTATCTATTAGCATTCTTCAATTAAGAAAAATCCTCCACTCTTAACTCTGCCTCAAATACCAGTTAGTAGTTTCTGTATAATATATATTTTCTAAAATCTTCTGTTGCATAAAATAGTATCATCATTTAGGTAATTATTTGATCATTTTTAGCCAGAGGACCATGATTTTTTAAATGACTATATAACTCAAAGAGAATGCCTTCATTTCTTAGAGTTGTTCTTTTCCTAAAACTTTGAGCTGATGTCTTCAAGTTGTTCTGCATTTTACTGATATCCTGGCCACTGATCTGCCCTACCCTGAAACAATTAGCTACTTAGGACTGCTACCTCATGCCTACCCAGGCATCCTATTTTCTACTGAGCCATAACCTCTACCTGGCACCTGTTCTGTGCACCTAGGCAGTGATGTGAAAGGAGAACTCACAGGGTTCTGATGCTGGTTCTGTTCCTCTCATTGTTATTGCCTCACTTTTTCACATTCTTTTGGGATTACCTAGACTGTTACCTTCCCAATACTCAGGTAGAGTTAATTCTCTACTGATAAATTTAGACACAAAAATTGACCAATGTATCTTCATTGAAGTATCAGTTTGTTCTTCTGTCCAAGAATCAGGAAATCTTATATGATACCTTGTGACGAGAGTGATTGTTTGAAAAAAACAACAAAAAAGGATGCGTTACCTCATAGGTTTGTTGACATTCTCCTGACACTTTTTAAACTATTTCTTTTAGACTATAGAAATTTCCATTTTGATATTCATTATGCAATGAAAACTGATTCCTTAGGCTACCTTTTGTCTAGAATAGGTTCTATAGTTTTCTCTAAAATTCTTGAGTCCCCACAGGGCACTAAGTAGGGCTCATATAGAGAACCCTTAGCCACCAGCAAAAATAGAGGAATAATCCACATTGAAGAGCCAACGCCAGTGGCTGAGAGCAATGATTTCAGGATCCACAAGGGTTCCTTCCATTTCAAAGAAGCTATATAGATATGGGAGGACTGTGGGGAGGAGCTCAAAATTCTGCTTGAAAGAGCTGATTTTTTTTTTGAAATCTAAAAAGAAAATGATACTCTTGGTCAGTTGCTAATGGTTGAAAGAACTATCTGCCTGTGGGTTTGAGACCAGTCCTGGCAACTTGGCAAGACCTTACCTTTAAAATAAAATAAAAAAAATTAGCCGGGCATTGTAGCGTGAGCCTGTAGTTCCAGCTACTTGGAAGGCTGAAGTGGAAGGATCGCCGGAGTTCAGCAGTTCGACGCTGGGGTGGTTGTGAGTGTGCCACTGCACTTCAGCCTGGGCGCCAGAGTGAGACTCCAACTCAAAAACAAACAAACAAAAAATGATCAATCCTTATATATGTATATATTTTAAACCTGCATTATGTGTTAGCCATACTAAGGACAGTTGCTTTTGCTTAGTAGCATTCTTCAGTTGGATTCAACTGTAGGTTTTGTGGGTGATTTAAAATGAGCTCTAAAATAGCTCAGGAGTTGTACTGAACACACACTCAGGAGTTTCATTAATGCAGCAGATTAAGTGAGGCTTTGCAAAGCTTTCTGGATGATTTCAAAGCTCCCTCCCTGGATTATCATCTTCGCTTTAAATTATCATGTCATGGTGCTTGGTTTAGCTGTCAGTTGTTTCTATTTAAAAGGCAGGTATGGTACAAATTTCTCCCGTATGTAAATGTCTGCATTTTGGAAACAGCATTTAAGAAGTAAGATGCATTAACAGAGCCAGCTTTTATTTTTGAACTTCATGTAGTTCTTTGTTGATATGAGCAATTCACAGCTACAGTTTACTAAAAACTTGGCTTGAGCATGTTTATTTCTGAAGACTTACTACAAATGGATGAAATTCCATCTCCATGTGAATAGATGATCAGTTTCTTTAAAATGTCTAATGACAAAATGTCACAACTAAGAAAGGCCTAAGATCTAGGAAGACATGACAACTTAATGGAATGTGGTTTCTGGGGTGACATTCTAGAACAGAAAAATAGACTAGATAAAAACTAAGGGAATTTGAATAAAACACAGACTTTAGTTCATAATAATGTTTTAGTATACGTTCTTTAATTGTCACAGATGCACCATTTTAATGTTAGATGTTAATAATGAAAACTGTGTGTGGGCTATATGGAACCTCTCTTTTGAATAGTAAAACACTATTCAAAAGTAAAAAGCTTATTATAAAAGTGCCTCATAATCAAAGTTACTTTGAGATATTTAAGTAGTAAATGCCATTTTCATTTTTTTAAATGTTATGGGATTGAGTTTATTACCAAATGTTTTTCTACGTTGCAGTTGCCTCTCTTAAGATTAAAGTTTATGACTATGTTTTATTATATAATGTTTTATATATGTTTATATATGTTTTATTATATAATATAATTATATTATATTACATAAGAAACCCTATTGCCACTAATGATCATCTTTTTCTGAGCTCCCCCTGTGTTTTACACCATTATCTACTGTTGACAGGAACAGTATTTTCTGGGGGTATGACACAAACCTTTCTTGTCAGAATTTCCACTAGAGATTATGTCTATGAAAACAGCATAGTTAGATGGTCAAGTTTCAAATCCTGTCTTGCTAAAAAATTGTAGTGTAGAATAAAGTACATTACTATGCCATCTTCACAAGTTTTTGTGGTTCTCAGCTCTACAGTTAAGACCATAGTAACTACCACCTCATGAACATTCTGTGAAAATTAAATTACATAACACTTAGGGTTTAGCAAACTGTGTGGATCATGACAATCACTTAATAAAGATTATTATTATTTATCCCATGTGGCAGAATTTTAAACATGCTTACAATAATCTCTGCCAATTTTTTAATTTACCTTTTTTTTTTTTGCTACAGAATTTACAGAAAGAATGCATACTCTCTTATTTGGAAAATTACAGTTTTCCTAGCTATCATAAAATTCAAGTATTCAAATTCAAGTAATGCTAAGGTGCCTAAATAATAAAGTAAGGAGAGAAAGAAAAAAGAAGTGTTAAGAAGAAAGAAGTTAACAAAGGAAGAAGGAGGAA